CTCTCATTCAGTGGATCTCATACAATCATTACAGCATTAGTGAGAGAACCAAGCTATGAGGCATACTATGCTTAAGGTGCCAAGTAACTGATTCTGTTTTTCAATCAGGAGGGGCTGCAGCCATGCTGTTTATGATGCAGTTTAATTGGAACAAATGTGCACCATGGTTAGGAAGTGGTTTGTGCATATCTCAGTGTAAAGGATTTGTATACTGCTTTTCTTCTCCAAAATCATACAAAGTAGCTTAAAAAGCAGGACGGCCATCAATCGCGGGGAACTTACGGTGACTCCATAGCGTTTTCAAGGCACAAGATGAACAGCGGTAATTTGCCATTTCCTGCCTCTGTGTAGTAACCCTGGTCTTCCTTGGTGGTCTCCCATCCAAGTACTAACCATGGCTGATTTTGCTTAGTTTCTGAGATCTAGATGAGATTGGGCTAGCTTGGACCATTCAGATGAGGGTGCATTCTTCCAGAGCCCATGCCTTTTCTATAGTAGTGGTCACCTTATGGAATGGACTGAGAGGGGCGCCATCCCTAGAGTTTATTAGAAGGTACTGCAAGGATCTGTGCCTCAGATCCATGTCATTGCATCATGGACAGGCGTTTTGTTTTGTTTGCATTATTTTCCAGTTCTGCTAGCCCTTATGCTGTCTGAATTTCGTAATCCACCTTGAATCTCAGCAAGAAAGGTGGACTGTAAATGTAGGAAATGAAATAAATGGTGATGCCACAAAGTATGTGGTTTTGTGATGCAGTCAGTAGTAGTGATACAACGTGGTGTTTGATCGTGAACTTTGGAGGACTCCCTGTAGAAATCATAAGGCTTTAAAAATCTGGTCTCTATGCCATGTCAGCACTACTAACTGCTGGACCCATATTTTTGTGGTACAGTCCATGAACATGTGTAATTTGATGCAGGATTTGGAGGGAGTCCATGTAGGAAGCCCTCACTTGGATAGCCCAGGCTAGCCGAATCGCATAAGATCTTAGAAGCTAAGCAGAGTCAGCCCTGGTTAGTATTCGGATAGACCACCAAGGAATACCAGGGTTTGCAGCATGGAGGCAGGCAGTGGCAAACCATCTCTGAATGGTTTTTGCCTTGAAAACTCTACATGGTTGCCATAAGTCAGCTGCAGCTTGATGGCACTTTCTACCACCACCACCAGGTAGAAATCATGATGATCTGTGATTGTGTACTGTGGCAGGACCATGAAGTGCTGGATCCTAAAAACACCCCCCCCCACTGCACCTCGTGGATATGAATTTATTATTTTTATTTATTATTAGATTTTTGGTCACCTCTCACCCAAGGGGTCTTGTGGCAAGTTACCACATCAAAACCACATGACATTAAAACAATATAAATAAGATAAAAACAACATAAAACAAATAACAAATATAAAATATTAACATTAAACTATTAAGCTATTAAAATATGTGGCTAGCACTGTACCACAAAAAACCCCCACCCCAAATATGTGAATTATCCTTCAAAGCCCAGCCTAAACAATTTGGCCTTGCATGCCCTGTGAAAACTAAACAAGTCCAGCAGGGCATGGGTGTTATCCGAGAGTGCATTCCACAGGGTAGGAGCCACAGCTGAGAAGGCTCTTCCCCTGGCGATAGCAAACCAAGCCATCCTGGGGCCAGCCCCCTGCAAGAGGTCCCTAGACCACCTGCAGTCTCTGAAGCGTTTTCAAGGGTTGCCCTACATAGAGGGAATTGCAGTAGTCCAATCTGGAGGTGACCATTGGATGGATCAATGTGGCAAGGTCTGACCCAGACAAATAATGTGGTGGTATTTGATGCTGGATTTTTCCAGCATGTTTTGAATCCATAGTTTGTCATGCATGTTGCTGTGCCCAAGCAGCACATCAAAGCACAGGAGCTATGATTTTGGTGGTGTAATTCATTGGCATGGCTGTGATATGTGAGCTGATAGTGAATTTCAAGAACTCTGTAAAAATCATGAGGTGTTGTCCGTGGAGAAAGATTTGAACTGTGATATGATTGTGAATTTGTGTTTCGGTTTTAAAATCATATGAATTCTCAGTGATCCATTGAAAGTCAAGATGCTACTATTGCTCACCTTTATGAAGAAAGCTAGGTGAAAAAATGTTTAGAAAAAGCCAAATGTTTTAAGAACATAAGAGAAGCCAATGTTGGATCAACCCAATGGCCTATCCAGTCCAACACTCTGTCACACAGTGGCCAAAAATACCAGGTACCATCAGGAGGTCCACCAGTGGGGCCAGGACACTAGAAGCTCTCCCATTGTTGCCCCCCCCCCAGCACCAAGAATACAAAGCATCACTTGTCCCAGACGGAGACTTCCTATCTATAAAGGTAAAGGTTCCCTTGCTCGAAAGCCAGTCGAGTCTGACTCTAGGGTTACGGTGCTCATCTCCGTTTCAATGCCGAAGAGCCAGCGCTGTCCGAAGACATTTCCGTGGTCATGTGGCTGGCATGACTAAACACCAAGGTGCACGGAACGCTGTTATCTTCCCACCAAAGTGGTACCTATTTATCTACTTGCTATTTCTTGCTTTCGAACTGCTAGGTTGGCAGGAGCTGGAACTAGAGATGGGAGCTCACTCCATCCATGCGGCAACTCGGGTATCGAACTGCTGAACTACTGACCTTCCACAGCCTGCAGTTCAGCGTCTTAACCACTTGAGCCACGCAGCTCCTTTCCTATCTATACCTTGTGGCTAATAGCCATTGATGGACCTCTGTTCCATATATTTATCCAATTCCCTCTTGAAGCCGTCCATGCTTGTAGCCACCACCACCTCCTGTGGCAGTGAATTCCATGTGTTAATCACTCTTTGGGTGAAGAAGTACTTCCTTTTATCTGTTCTAACCTGACTGCTCAGCAATTTCATTGAGTGCCCACAACTTGTATTGTGAGAAAGGGAGAAAAGTACTTCTTTCTCTACCTGTTCTGTCCCATGCATAATCTTGTAAACATCAGTCATGTCACCCCTCAGTCGTCGTTTCTCCAAGCTAAAATCGATTTATACAGGGGTATTATGATACTGGCTGATTTGTTTTCAATTCCCTTCCTAATAATCCCCAGCATAGTATTGGCCTTTTTTACTGCGGTCGCACACTGTCTCAACATTTTCATTGAGTTATCTACTACGACTCCAAGATCTCTCTCTTGGTCAGTCTCTGCCAGTTCGGACCACATCACTGTGTATTTATAGTTAGGATTTTTGGCCCCAATGTGCATCACTTCGCACTTGGCCACATTGAACCCCATTTGCCATGTTGACGTCCACTCGCCCATCCTCGACATCCCTTTGGAGTGCCTCACAATCCTCCCTGGTTTTCACCACCCTGGAGAATTCCGTGTCATCCGCAAATTTAGCCACCTCACTGCTTACTCCCAACCCCAAATCGTTAATGAACAAATGAAAAAGCATCGGACCCAGTCAATGTTCCCTCTAAGCTGAGTTAGTGTGAGCTAGCTCACAGTTTTTATAGCCTCCAGCTCACACATTTTTGTCTTGGCTCAGGCAGTATGACTCCAGAGCAAACTAACTGATGCAGTAGCCCAATCGCTCACTCACAACTTTATTGTCAGTAGCTCAGAAAGTAGAACTTTTGCTCACAAGACTCCATAGCTTAGAGGGAGCATTGGACCCAGTACTGATCCCTGCGGTACCCCACTGCTTACCACCCTCCACTGAGCAAATTGCCCATTTACACTCACTCTCTGTTTCCTATTAATTTTGAATTTTATTGGTATTTTGTATACTAACTTCAAATGTTATTGTCAACAGATTTTCCTTTCGAGTCATGTTGATAATTTCTCCCTGCAGTATGTTTGTAATATTGCAGAATTGCAAGTGCGTTTGTAGAGGGGATAGCGAAAGGGTTAAGTAGAGGTCAGAATAAACCGTCATCTTTTAAAGTTTTAAACCTTTTCTTGTTCGGGGTAACCACATAAACACAGGCAGAATTTTTCCTCGCTGTTGCTTCTCTTTATTAACCCCAAGTAAGCCAGAGGGCGGCCAATCTGGCACTTTCTGCCTGTCTTCAGTGGTTTTGACTGATGAAAAGCCTGGCTTTGGCAGAACAAGGGGGATCCTTACAAGCGAGCCTGCGTTCACCGTAGCTCATTGGCGGATTGGCAGGAAGCGATTTAAATATTAAATGAGACCTTTTAAGGCAAGATCGGCGGATGACATTTGTGAGGGGAAGGTGTCCGCGAGAGCGATGGGGGCGGGAGATGAGTTACATAGACGGGGTTAGTTTCCTGCTTGCTTCCTATTCAGCCTCCGTTCCTGTGCTTGACGTGAAAACTTTTAAGGTGGGAGGGAGGCCTCTCCTTTTTTTTAAGGTAGCCTCTCGAGATGGGAAAACCACCCACCTGCACAGGAAGAGTTTGGGATTTAGCAGAAACGAAACGTAAGACATCTGGAGTGGTTTGTTAAGTACCACGCAAGCCCCGGGGGCGGGAAACAGAGGGCTGCCCGGGTATTGCCCAAGGATCCTGGCCGCGGGGGAAATGTTCTTGTGCCTTTAAGAGCCTGCCTCTGCGTGAGGAAAGGGGCGGGGGCGGTTGTGATGTACCCGGACCTCTCCGAGTCCTAAAATAACCAACTTCCTTCCAGTGAAGTTTCTGGAGTTGGGGGACGGAGAGGGGAGGGGGAGAAAGGGAAAGCGGGCTGCTGCGTGGACAGCCTGGCGGAGGCGAGTGCTCATGGAGCCCGGAAGCAGACGGCAGAGAAACCCTTTCGTTTCTCGGCGCTGTTGAGCGGCGGCGGTCCCAGATGATTCCGGCCGGGTCGCCGTCGCCACGCTCGGTGCCTCCCCGCCAGCCTGGGCCAGCAGCTGCGAAGGGAAGGCTGGGGTCGCGCGCGGGACTGTGCCGGTGACTGACTTGCGACCGCTCACCCGGAGAGAGGTTAATGGGAAGCTGGAGACAAAGGCGATGCGAGGCCTCCTGTTGCTGCCCTGTCATCCCGGCCCCTAGGAGCGGCGGCGGCGGCGGCGGCCGCCGATCTGGTTTCCCCGGGGCAGGCGGAGGGCAGACTAGTCCGGGAGCTTCCTTAAGCGGCGGCGCCACCTTAAAGAGCCTGATGACTTTTCTCGTTACATTGTAGCAGCGGAAAGAATGTCGGCGCGGGCCGTGGCTGACGTCAGAGGGGAGCAACGCAGAGCGGCGGTGGCGGCGGCGGCCAGCAGGCAGCAGCAGCGGCGGCCCCGGCACGGCGGAGGAGGAGGCGGCGGCGGCGGCGGCGGCGAGAGCGGCCCCGCCAGCACGACCACCGCCAACGCGATCACCGCCAGCACCGCGGCAATGGCGACCGTCGGGGAGCGCAGGTCCTTGCCTAGCCCGGAGGCGATGTTGGGGCAGCCCTGGAGCCACTGGGTCGATGCTGCTAAACTTCACGGGAACGACGGTGAGCGAGAGAGAGAGGATCCCCTTTTTCTTCCGGGGGGAAGAGGAGAAGCCCCGCCTGATAGGAAAGGGTTAACCCAGCTGGTCTCCTGTGAGGGAGGGAGGCATCAAGGGGGAGCGCCAACCTTCCTCTGTCTCTAAGGCTCTGGAGGCAGGAATCTGCCCCAGACCCAGAGATTTGGCAACGAGGTGGGGGTGAGCAGGTAGGTGGAGGTTCTTGTTTGACCCTGATCAGCTCCACCCCCTAGCCTGGTTTATATCTGAGGTTTTGGGGCATGTGAGCAGTCCTTGATGTGTCACTGATGGGTTTTCTTCATAGTCATTCAGGTGAGGTATATGAGTTTAACCTCTTTTTTTAAAGCATAGATTTGAGGAATATCATCTTACATCTCACTCATCTCCTGCATCCCCCAGTAGTTTGACTGAACCCAAAGAGTGGTGGTATATTTCCAGACGCATTGTTTGCATGGAAGATGCATGCTTTGATACAGTTCTTGTTTACAGATGTCTGCTGTAAAATGTCTTGGGCCAGGAAAAAAGAAATCCCAGTAAACAAATTATTTGGTTGTTTGGGAACCAGTGCACTGACAAGTCAGAAATCCTTAAAATAACTGTCTGACAAGTAGATGCAGTTCTCACTTTTTCATCTGACATAACTTTTCTTTCACTTACATGCTTCTATGAGCCATTCCCATGGCAAAAGTAATATTTGGGCAACCGAGTTGCTTTGGTGCGTGTGTGAATGAAAACACTGAAACATAGTATAGTAGCTCATACAGGTGTGCACTGCATCTATGAATCCAATATTTCTTATGTGTCACTTAGGATTGTGGTGCACTCTGCCTTAGTCATAAATGTTTGATTCAGCATTGGCTTCTATCTAAAAGGAAACAAGTTAATAGTTTGCTTTTATGTCTCTGGCAGAGATTGCTGTTTTTACTGTTTGGTCTACTTTGAATTTTCTCCATCTTGACTGCCTTGGTAATTAGAGGTGTGTATGGGGGGAAGGGCAGGGACAGAATGTCTGTACTGCACATTTTTTGTACCAGGTGTCCTTACAGTGGATACACTTGACTTAAGGAAGGTAAAATTGCAGTGTACCACATTGTTTGCTATACAGCCGCTATTCCACAAAGATCTCATAGATTTACATATTTCCTTTTTTTTGTTGTGTTCTAGGGGCAGCCTTGGAAGAAAGTTCCAAGGAGTATGGGAAAAACCGTGAAGCGATGCGACTCTGTAGAGAAGGTGAGTATACACAGAGAGATATCCCACTGTGTAAGGAAATAATTGAAATAGACGCATTTGCTAGCAGTGTCTTGGGTAGGCCTGGATTTGCAACCCCAGCCTGTTATGAATATGAAGAGGTTGGTTTGACTCAGCAGTTGGCTTCTATCTGAAATGGTCACCGTACATTTTATTGTTTGTGTTTAGGAGAAAGTAACAGTTCAAACTGTCCCAATAAAATTAGGTGTATTCCCTGTTGAGCATTGTGAACATTTATTTTACAGTTAAACACAGATTAGACAGAATAGAGGTGACAGCTCTCATGCCCCATCCAAATGGTAATCTGGAATTCTGTATTGGTCTATATTGGACCTACTTTATGGTCATGCTTCATCCTGCATAGCCCTTGACAAGCATAGGAAGTGTTTTGGCAGCCAAGGAGAAAGGATGAATCTGTTGATGTATTTAGTTCCTTCTAACCTTTCCCTGTCAACACGAGGAATCTTTAGGATGTCATTGGGCAGATATGTAGAAAAGTACCCAAATGTGCATGACCATCTGTACCAATATATCATTTCCCCCTACATATATATGCTTTCTACAAGGTTATGTGCTGGGTGGCCTCACAAGGAAATTGGCTCATTAGTCATTACTAGTAACAAATTTAAAGGAGAGCTAAAGAGCTACACAGAACTAAAGGCTGGGGATCAGTGAAGCACAATGAGCTACTTTGCAGGTAATCATTGACACAGCAGTCTTTAGCACTGGGCTTTAACCTGCAAATAGTCTGAGTCTTGGGGGATAGACCAAGCTTGTATTGGGGGAGGTGAACCAGGGGCAGGTGGTGAACAGTTGAAAAGGAGTCTGAACTTTGGCCAAAAGAAATTTCATTATATATTGAGGTGGCATTAATAGTATCTTCACAAGGTATTTAGTTTTATAGTATTTATGGTTCACCTTTCTTAAAAAGGGTTGTGGTGATAACGAGTTAAAACACTTAAAATAGTAAAACATACGTAACTCAGTATTAAAGACAGTACCCCAGTTAACAAAAAGGCCCTTCTAAAAGCTCTGTTTTACAAAGACTGCAGAAGGACAGGAGTGTAAGCGTTTTCCTAACATGCTCTGTAAAGTTGTTCCACTAGGGAGGAGCCACAGTGTGTGTGTGTGTGTGTGGGACATCTAAACACAGGCTATGATAGATCTTCCTTATCTGCAGGAGGAGATCTTCAGAAGGCCTTGTTCAGGTAAACAGAGCTGTACAGAGCATAGTGGGGAAAAGCTGTTGTGTAGATACTAGGTCATGAAGGGCTTTATAGCTAATAACCAGTTCTTTGAATTTAACCTGGAAGGTAATTAGCAACCAAGGAAATAATTGCAAAATGGGTTTTATATGATAAACCACATGTTCCTCACAATAATTGAGCTGCAGTATTTTGCTCAAGCTGAAGATTCCAAATAGACTTCAAGGGCCACCTTACATAGAGCACATTACAATAGTCTCATCTTGAGGTTACTTTGGCGTGGATCCATGCCACCAGATTGCATGGGTCAAGCCCCAATCTCCATGCCTGGTGAAGATGGAGGCAGGCATTTTTTGCAGCAACAGTGCTGACTCAAGTAAAAACTCAAGATTCCGAAGTCAGCAAGGGTCAGTGGTACTCCATCAGATGTGGAGAATGTAATGCTATCCAGCTCACTGACCAGAATCACCTCCATATTGCCTGAGTTTGGTTTCACTTGTTCACCTTTAGCATCTTAGCCATGGCAATTGAGCACTTATTTAGGGAGGTTATGACAGCATCAGGTAGCTTAGATAAAGAAAGATAGAGCTGGGTATCATCGGCACAGTGTGATGACACCCAGTACCAAAACCATGGGTGGTATCTCCTGAAGGTCTTAGGTACAAATGAAAAAGCTTGGGTGATAAGATTACCCCACTTCCAGAGATTCAAAGTTGTGCTGGCCAGTTACCGGGAAGCCTGATAATTCTGCTTGTAATAGTAGATCAAACATGTTTGCTTCATGGTAGTTTCACAAGACACTGGTCTGCAGTCCTGATTTGCAGTGCAGCTGTAATGGAGAGCTACAGTTCACCAAAGCCAGGAAGTAACTAATTTTGCAGCACACCAGGGGAGGAGGAAGGGACTGTGAGTGAGCCTGAGGCTCCTTCTAGACTTGTTTGCATGGTGCCAGAACATAGTTTGGCATTACGTCCCAACTGTGCCTAATGACGCTCATGGCCTGCCTAGCTCATACAGCTTTGATGCTGTGGCTGTACAAGGAGCACCTGGAAAATGTCTATAAATACACTAACCTTAAAAGAGCCAAAATCAATAAACTGAACTCTTTCAGGGTAAACAAAACCCACAGAGATAGAGGGAGTGTATTTTCAGGTACCTGGTTAGTTGAGATTAATGCCAGATCAGGTTGTTTTCTAGGTGAGCTGCTATCTCACATGTTGCTTCACTGTTCATATGTGCTGTTCATTGTGGAAGTCATTGGTATTTACTTCTTTCTTACATGTACCATGGGAAGGAAGCTGTCCTGTATACCTGGATGGAAAGTGGGGGGGGGGGAGGATGGACATGAAATGCACTGATGGAAGTGATACTCAAACTGTTAATTTCTCCATGAATTATTTGGGCCTTGTGGCAGGACTGTCCATTTGAGTTAGCATCCATATCAGCACTATCGTAGTATCTTCTAGTGCTGGTTAGAATGCATTCATGTGCTCTCATAGAATGCAGATGCCTTAAGATCAGGATCATTTCTGGTTCTAAACACTCTTATCTTAAGAAACAGGCAGTATTTTTAGGAAAACAAACAACAAAACACTGCATTCAGCATGTAATTAACTCATGCTGATGGCTGCTAGGTTAGATGGCTTGAAAATATGTCGTATTCATAGAAAATAGCTTTATGCATCGTTATTTGATAGCGACCGCCTCTAAAATAGCAAGAGTCGTTATGTCAGGAGAAAGTTCTCCCCATCATATCCTGCTTGTGAGCTTTACTGGAATATCAGGCTGGCCAGTTTGACAGAGGTGCTACACTAGATGGACACATCCATTTCTTTCTTTCTTTTTCTTCTTAAGCGTCTTCCTCTAGGGAGCTTACAGTTAGAACAATCTAGCCGTATTAAAAACCAGCCTTTAAACAAAACAGTGGGCAGCATAAAAAAATGATCCATAAAAAAGAGGCAGACTATGAAAAAGCTGGTAAGAGAAACCCCCTCATTAAGAGCCTTGGTAAGAAGATGTGTTGTGGCCTGGCACTTAGAAGGAAGTAAAGTAGATACCAGTCAAGCCTCAAGGGGGAGGGCATTCCAGAGGCAAGGTGCCACCACAGAAAATGCCATGTCTCTAGTCGCCACCTGCCTCACCGCTGCACAGAGAGCAGGGCTTGAGAAGCAGGTCTTAACTGCCAGGTTGGGTAATATGAGAGGAGACAGCTCCCAGAAGCAGAGGCTCTTACCTTTTTTTGAGAGAAGCTGGACCTTCCTTATTTATTTGTTAGCTTACTTTATAGCCCACCTTTCTCACTTGAGACTCAAGGTGGCTTACGTGGTGTAAAACAATGCAGATAGCATGGGAGATCTACTTTTTTTTTTTGAAACCCCCAAGAGGGGTATTTTTATTTTTTCAATAAGACTACAAACTACAAAGAAAAATATAGGAAGGGGAACTACAACTATGGATAAAGGAAAGAAACCCACACTAACTAAAAGCCCAAGAGTGGGAGACCGCCTTTATGTTAACCTTAATAGTAGTATTAAAAGAGTTAGTAAAACAATATACTTGTAGAGTTCTTGTTTTTCACATTGTTCTATATTAGTAAATTAGTTATTATGAGAGAACTTTCTGAGCATCTTTTTCATTTCAAAGAGCCATTTATCAGAGTCCTTCTGCCTTTACTTCGGCTTTCTGTCTCTAAAATCATATATAGTTTTCATTGCTCCCGCAACCACTTTTGCAGCAGAGTCCTCATCCGTTCCCGAGGCAGCCGAGTCACTTGACTTAGTTTCTTCCTCTTTAGATTCTTCCCCCGATCCCAGCTGGCGTTTCAAGAATTCCTTGGCTTTGAAGATGGAGTCTATCTTCTCCCTTCTATCGTTGATTTTAAAGATGACACCTTCAGAAATCGCCCACCTGTACTGTATACCGTTTGTTTGAAGAAAAGTAATTAACTCCTTGTAGCTCTTTCTCTTCTGAGGAATTTCAAATGGAATGTCTTTTAAAGTCTTGATAATTGTATTCCCAAATTTCAGTGGAGTTGCTGAAGTTACCTTTAATATAGCATCTCTGGTCTGTCTTCTTGCAAATCTCATCACAATCTCTCCAGGCAGGCTATTTTTTAAAATATAATTGGAGTAAGCCCTATAAGCTGTCTCCATGTCTTTTATTATTTCCTCCGCTGGCAAGCCTGTCACTGGAGCAATAATCTCACCCAGAGTCTTCTTCAAATCTTCTTTTTCTGTCTCAGGAACCCACTGGAACCTGAGAATCATATTAGCCTTTTCCATTTGCAGCTGCAACAAACGATTTTCTTGAAGATTTTGTTTCGTTTCCACTTCACCCATTCTTTTCTTCATCTTCTTGCTTGAGGTGTCCATCTCTGTAACTTTCTCAGCCACCAGCTCCACTTTTTTTTCCGTTTCTGCCAGCTGTCGCTGTTGTGAAGCGAAGTTTTGATTTAACGAGGTCAGTTGCTGGTTAATACCATCGAGCTGATCCATCACTGGCTTGAGCATATCCGCTAACAGCTTCATGACGTCAGCTCCCTCTTCCGGCCTCAGACTCTGACTACCAGGCTTCACTTTAAACTTTCCTCGGGATGCCACCATTTTTCAACTTTGTTTACATTTTCAAATTGCTTCTCCCGGGCTCGAGGCACTTGTCAATTCGCTATTTGCACTCAAGTAAGTCTCTCAAAATACACACGCTGTCCTTGCGCTTCAGAGGTATCCCTCTTTGCGCTCCGCTTTTCCCACGGGGAGGGGGGGTGCCGTCTATAAAAGT